ATTAATCAATAATAAACACCAGCAAAAAAAAATATATAAATAAATGAATAAATAAATATATATATATATATATTTTTTTTTTAAAGATCAAAAAAGTATTTGACTGCAACAACTATTGTGAATGTAGGAAGACAAAAAAATACAGATTCCTATAGTAGGCCATTTACACTAAGAAATGCTGCAAAAGTAGTTTAGGTAATGCATTAACTCAGGGCCCATTCACACTGTGCACTATTATTGTGCATTAAGGCACACTGTGCTTAGGCAGCCCATTTAAAATGAATGGGCTGCCTTAACTCAACATGCCTTAATGCATGGAAGAACAGAACTGACCCCTTTTTAACTAAGTACGACACAATACACGGCATGTGTGTTGTGGTGCACTGCAGGGTGGATGCATTACCTGATGTGGAACAGTGCGTTGGATTGTCATTGAAAATATATGGCATCACATTTATTGAGTTACTATAATGCATCAGTGCAAATGGGCCCTTATAAATGGAGAGGTATGTAATATATGCATAGCTGCTGAGCACAGGCAGTAGAGTAGCGGGGGGCAGGCTCACCTTTATTGATATTTAAAATGTATCTCTAGCCAAAACCATGTTTTTTTTTCATTTTGGATTGAGTAGGTGGTGTTTAGAACCTTTATGAAAGTTTTTTTGCTCTGTGTTCCATTGGATAATTTGAACTATTTTTTCTAGATGGACTTGCCTTTTTTTCAACCTAACTATGTAACTGTATATAACATTTGTTCCAATAAAAACCGCAGAAATCTTGACGTCCCATTACTTTGTTTGGATGGGGTTGATTTACTAAAGGCAAATAGTGTACTTGCACTTGCAAAGTGCACAGTCTAATTTTCCCCAGAGTGTAGTGAATAAGTTGACATTTCCATCAACTAATCATGTGCAAGCAAAAATGATTTTGTTTTTCCCTTGCACCTGATTGAGTACTCTTCACAAAGTAAATCTTCACCACATTAATTCAGGCTTTGCGGAAAATGTGTGCAACTGTACTTGCAAAGTGCACAGTGTCTATTTATCTTTAGTAAATCAACCCCAGTGTTTTAAATAGCACCTGTTTATAATTTTTGGTGTTTGTTTTTCATAATTTTGCAAGCACACATAACTTTTTGTGCCTACAAATATTGCTTGTTTATTACATTTACACAGTCTCATCCTCTTTATTTAACCCATTGCAATGGCACTGGTGTAAACATCTATCCTCCTGGACAGGTCCCTAAGGACATGGATGTTCTGTGCATCTCTCGCTCCAGAGATAGCGCTGATCTCTGGGAGTGCACTGCAAAGTGCCACTAGTTGGATTCAGACATTTGTACTGGAAAAAGCTTAATATCTTGAACTCTAACATATACATACTTTATACATATACATACTTTATTGACCATTAAGTAAGCGCCATACAATTTGAAAACCTATGCATATTTGGGGACCTAATATATATATATATATATATATGTATATACTTGCATATGCTAGAAATGTCAGCCCCCTTGCAATACTATACACATATTGAAATATGTCCTGTATAATGACACAATCTTTTTATGTAAATCCCATGTATTTATTCATGGGACTCGCACTTGCATTACTTTGCTACAAACCAATCTGTTTAATGTCTGCAAATTGTGCATTGTCACATACTAAAGAGGAAAGAAGTTAACATTCTCTACTATTTTATATAGGAAGGAAGAAAATGCTCCATGCTGATGCTAACACAGCTACCGTAGGCGTATGTTAGTGTAAAATGACTACATTTTTGTGTCGGGGGACAGCAGAGATGTGACATAGATTAAAACGAATTGTTGATCCATACCAAGAAGAAGCAAGGCAAACAATAGAACTGAAAGCATAAATGTCAATTTGGGATGATAAAGGATACAATTTAAATGTAATATGAGAGGCCCCCCAGACAAATGCAAGAAATAGAAATTACCTATTATTGAAGAATCAAAGGATGATATACACACCAATGTATTAAGAACATACTTGGCTTAATGTCTTGTAAAGTATAATGTAACACCATAAAGCAATGTTAATTTTGCTGCACACATTTTATCAGTAAACAAGAAATTCTCCATTCCCGTGCCCCCTTCTATTGTTTATGTGCTGTATAATCTTGATTACCGCACACTATCGGCTGTAGCGTCATAATTGCTTCTAATTCTACCTCAATGCCTTTTGTTATATTATCTCTGCAGTGTGAGAACCCTGAGGATATCTACACTTCTCCATGGCTGAGGAACATTGACAAATGCTGACTATTTATCCAGGCAAAAGAAGCAAGGTCATTTCAACAAGGTCATTTAATTTCATTCTAGAATTCTCTTGTCCCTTCACATCATGGCTCTTTGTCTGATAAGTTAAGAGCTGGAATCGTACTTTAAATCAATTTTTGACATGTCACATGGTGTCAAACTGGTTTTTGCATTGCTATCTCGTAATATATCTTTGCGATTTCGCAAGCAATATTCATTTGTTTACACTACATATCTAAATAAAGAGATGCACTACAATGTGTTATTACAGAAATAATTAACAGCAGATGGTGAGTATCATTATATATCACTATGGTGATAGCCCCACATAGATACAATGTATATGAAAAGAATATATGATGAAACAAAACTATCTGAACCTTATACATTTAAAATGAACTTTTAATTAAATGATGTAGTTATTCATTGTTTTCAGGCATCGTATCTCTATATTATGATAAATCTGTGTACACCTCTACAAAGATAAACTATCAATCTTGACAGTTTTCCTCTGTGTATATCATAATGACAATAACTGAAATCTCGAGGGGCAGTATATACAGTAATTACTTTGTTCTACACAGGTATCCCAGGCTCTTAATTTATCACCTGTTCTGATATGACATTAAAACCAATGCAAAACCTTGATCCTATCTATTCATTTACATTTGATTTATATGCTGTCAGAGTTTTGTAACGATTACTGCAAAAATGTCGAAATCTGAACTAACTATACTTAATATTTATGTCTCTGCAGAAAACGTCCGTCTTTTTTGTCACAAACTAGTGTTTGGATGTAAACTAACCATACATTAATCTATAGCAAAAATCAATTAATTGTATTAGGGGCATGGAATAACCAAGTAGAACACAATATTAGATAGACCATGAATTATGGAATAGAGAAAGAAAACGTTAAATGTCCCCTACATAGAAAGGACCTTTTGTATCATCCCAGCTGTTGTTTTGGATTTTTGTGTCGGACAAGCGGAATACATGACAGGAAAAAGTAACCACAGAAAACTGTTATAAGCTCTAAACTGTGGTGTATGCTCCAACACCTATTCTCCTTATTGTCAGAGCTAACATAAGATACCCTTCTAGGAAAAAGCCATTCTCCATTACTGATTTCATTCTGAAAGTGGCTGTGGCACAAACATGGTGGATGGGGTAATCCTCCCTCTGAGACATTGGGGTTGATTTACTAAAGCTGGAGTATGCAAAAGATGGTGCAAGTCTGCAAAGAAACCAATCAGCTTGCAGGTATTATTGTCAAAGATTATTGAATAAGTTGAAGTTAGAAGCTTATTGGCTACCATGCACAGTTGCACCAAATGTTGCACTCTCCAGTTTTAGTAAATCAACCCCACTACGTTCTGACAGCAGCATTTTTAACTGTCAGAAAACACTGATCAGTGGCTGCAGCACTGATTGAGAGAAGTTTTCCAACATGTCACTTTGATCAGTCAAATGATTAACTTCCGTAAAGCAGGGACTGCCACATAGTGATCTGCTGAACCAGCTGAATAGGGTGTACTTTTAGGCTCCATGCACACTAGCATTTTGTTAAGCTCAAAAACACTGAAAAAATGTTAGATAAAAACTGCTGGTAATAGTGTTTTTAGTAGCATTTAGAATCGTTTAGGAATGTTAGCATTTTATTTGTGTTTTTTCAGTACATGTAGGAAAAACAAACAAACAAAAAAGCTGTTAGGAGCGCTTTAGTAGCATTTAGCAGCATTTAGTCTTTTTATCTGCTGGAAAAACTGCTCCTAGATGCTAATGTGCATGAACACATAGGATATTGATATATGAACACTATTTAGCTTCTAGGAGCAGAAAAACAAATGCTAATAACAGCTAGCGTTAAGGTGGTGCCAAGATATATACTATATACAGTATATATATATATATATATATATATATATATATATATATATATATATATATAAAATATATAAAATACATATATGCACATGCTATATTGGGACACCTGCCTTTACACGCATGAACTTGGAATTCAAGTCTTAGTCCGTAGGGTTCAATATTGAGTTGGCCCACCCTTTGCAGCTACAACAGCTTCAACTCTTCTGGGAAGGCTGTCCACAAGGTTAAGGAGTGTGTCTATGAGAATGTTTGACCATTCTTCCAGAAGCGCATTTGTGAGGTCAGGCACTGATGTCTAACAAGAAAGTCTGGCTTGCAGTCTCTGCTTTAATTCATCCCAAAGGTGTTCTATTGGGTTGAGGTCAGGACTCTGTGCAGGCCAGTCAAGTTCCTCCGCCCCAAACTTGCTCTTCCATGTCTTTATGGACCTTGCTTTGTGCACTGGTGTCCAGTCATGTTGGAACAGGAAGGGCCATCCCCAAACTGTTCCCACAAAGTTGGGATCATGTAATTGTCCAGAATGTCTTGGTGTGCTGACGCCTTAAGAGTTCCCTTTGCTGGAACTAAGGGTCCAAGCCCAACCCCTGAAAAACAACCTCACAACATAATCCCCCCTCCCCCCAAACTTTACACTTGGCACACTGCAGTCAAGCAAGTACCATTCTCCTGGCAACCACCAAACCCAGACATGTCCATTGTATTGCCAGGCAGAAAATTGTGATTGGTCACTCTAGAGAACATGCCTCCACTGCTCTAGAGTCCAGTGGCAGCATGCTTTACACCCCTGCATCTGACACTTTGCATTGCACTTGTAAGGCTTGAATGCAGCTGCTCATCCATAGAAACCCATTCCATTAAACTCGTTAGGCGCTGTTGTTGTGCTAATCTGAAGGCCACACAAAGTTTGGAGGTCTTTAGCTATTTACTCAGCAGACAGTTGGTGACTTCTGCACACTGTGCGCTTCAGCATGCGCTGACCCCACTATTCATTTTACATGGCCTACCACTTTGTGGCTGAGTTGCTGTTGTTCCCAGTTGCTTCCAATTTGTTATAATACCACTAACAGTTGACCGCGGAATATTTAGTAGCAAGGAAATTTCATGGATGGACTGATTGCACAGGTGGCATGCTATCACGGTACCACATTTGAATTCACTGAGCTCCTGAGAGTGACCCATTCTTTCACAAATGTTTTTAGAAGCAGTATGCTTCCCTAGGTGCTTGATTTTATACACCTGTGGCCATGGAAGTGATTGGAATGCCTGAATCCAATGATTTGGAGGGGTGTCCCAATACCTTTGGCAATATAGTGTCTGTGTGTATGTGTATATATATATATATATATATATATATATATATTCTTATACTGTATATATTCTTGGGGTAGACAGCTTTCAGTGGAGGTGATTTTGTGTAGGTAGTGAGAGTCCAGCTCACAACAATCTTTAATGTATGTTCAGTATCAAATACATCATAAACAGCACTTCCAACATTTAAAGCGTATGTAAATGAAAGTCAAATAAAACCTAAACAAACACATCTGGTACTATCATCATTTTACACTAGTTGCAGCGCTCAAAAAACATACCCATTTTTGTACTTTTATTCATGGCCATGCAATCACTTGGTCCTCCTCTTCTCCCTACAGCATGAAGACATGCAGAAGAACCTGGGTGGCCAAGAGCCTCTGTCACTCCAACTGTGGGGAACTAAGTGGGTAGCTGTGGCAGCTGTAACTGGATGTCCTGAAGTTAGAATAGATGCAAACTGGACACAATAAGATGGGCATGTTTCAGTGCTATGCAGAGCCATACAAAGCAGTGTGCTGGAGCTTACAGGGGAGAGAACTGTATTGTTTACATACAATTCTCTCCCCCTATCGGGAATACTCGGCGATCACTGGGTGCTGGTGAGTAATCACTGGCCAGGGCCCGGTGATTGTCAGCCAAGGCCTCCCTACCCGGAAATGCAAAATCACGCATATATATAAATGATTTTGTGCACCCCTGCTGTTCTGTAGCAGTATTAAATCCTTTCTGACTCTTCACAACAATAATCTATTTCTTTTAGGGAAATGTACCCTGGATCCAGATCCCAAGAACAATAGATCTTACTTGTGGGGTTAATATACTAAAAGCAAACAGACTGTTCAATTTGAAAGTTTAGTTTATAGTGTAAAGCTCTGCTGCCTTCCTTCATTCAATATTCAAGCAAAAATACCTTTTTCTAATTTTTTATTTTCTTTGCATATGGTTCTTTGGAAAGTGAACTTTTACCACATTCACTATGCTAAAAGAAAATGATCTTGCAAACTGAACAGCCTATCTTGAGTAAAAAGAACTCCAATGTCTCTTTGCAGAACAACATGCTTTGGCTTTCACTATGGTTTACAAGAATCCTGTGAAGGCATCTACGTCTTTTGCCAAGAATAACAGTCACAGTACTGGCATAACGACATAACTGTTCTTTATTATTCCATTTTCCCTTGAACACAGTGCACCCTTTCCTGCTATTTTATATATACAGTATATATCCTCATTGAAACTACAAAATACAACATACTCAGTGGTTGCAAAGCTTCATTTAAAAAACAAAAATGTCATACTTACCTGATCTGTGCAATGGTGAAATGGACCTCTTCTTGGGTCCCCCACTGGCGCTCCTGGCACCTCCCTCCTGCTGAGTGCCCCAAAACAGGCTGCTTGCTCTGGGGGCGTTCATGCATGCTGACTTACAAGTCAGCCCCATATGTCCATACAAAGCATTACTCAGGCTTGCCCCTCGATCCTACCTAACTGGCTGTGATTGACAGCAGCAAGAGCCAATTGTTCCTTTTGTTGTGTCTCAGCTAATGAGGAGAGAGAGACTTGGGAAAGCCGAGGCTTTCATGCACATTGCTGGATTGTGATCAGGTTCAGGAAAGTATGGGGGGGGCTGTGGGGGGAGCCGCACACTGATGGTTTTTTTTAAAAAAAACCTTAAGCCTTTAGAACCACTTTAAGTTATTTCGAATAAAGATGTTAGTATTTAGGAAAATGTGAGATACTGAAGGAAATTAAATTAGCTTAGTAATCACCCCAGAAGTTCAGTAAAGTCTGGAGTTTAGGTAAAAGGGAACATGAGTGTTATGGGGGTAAATAGAACTTTTGCCAGTACCTATCATTTCAATTATTATTTAATGCAGAACTCCAGCAAAAAATAACAAGATAAAGGATAGTAGACTATTAAAAGCAAAAATTAAAAACATATTTTGTTGCTATATTCAACTTTAATCCAGAACTGCCCCTTATCCACACACTCCTCTGACCAGACTAGTTGCGTTGTCTAGTTGTGAAAGTCTAATGGTCAGCATCATTCAACTTAGTCCATCTATGCCTAGGTTGTTATGGACCTGCCCCAGGATATGGCAGGAAGAAAGAAAGAAGAGATGCAGTACAGTGATGAGCTCATCTTTTTGCCGCTCTTCTCTTCTGTCTTTCTGTTAACATGCTCTTTGTTGGCGCATGAACTTATTTGCTCTTTGAGCTGCTTCTTCCTTATATACTCCAGCCCTGTTGTTGAGGGCCTGCAAGATACCAATTCAAATTCAAAGATACATACATTGCTTTTATTTCCAAAAATATATTTAATGGTGCATTAATTATTACAGCACTGCATTATTGATTGTTTTTATATCTGTCTATAACTCAACTTCTGGTATAATCTTTTATAAGTGCACTATTGAAAGGTGCACTATAAGCATGATGCACAAAATGACAGAAGTGACCAATTATCTTAACAGAAGGCAGATTGTGGAATTTACAAGTTAAAAGGCAACATGACAGCTGCTTATTTGCTATGTGTTACAACATAGGAACAGCCCTTTATCATACTGCATAAGCCATAATATAAGTTTTAATAGACATACTTATTTATGTGCTACAGTATATTATATTGCAATGTGAAACACATTGTTAAAAGTAAAGATATCACTGATCGTTTCTGACATTTCTAATTTCTTTTTCTAATGTATATTTTTCAGTTTCAAAAATCACTATCCTGTTTGTCAAGTAATGGTGGTTAATTCAAATAAAATTGCATGTTTCTTGCAGAAAGAAAAAGTCCTGCTACTTAAAGACACATAAGACCACTGCAATGCAGAGTTAGATCTTCCTGTGTCTATGAAATATATTCCATCAATATTGTTGACTTTAAATGTCACTAATGTGTCTCTTCAAACGATGTAAGTTTTTTCTTCACAAAGTATAGCTAATACTTTAATAAAAGGGCAGAGCTGGATGAACTTTAATAGAATTCTGTCTATGATGTTTCATGAAGTTGTAAGAAGTGAATTAATTGATTGTAATAAAAACTCTCAAATAAATGTGAATGAGAAGGTTCTGTGAGTTGAACTGAGGGATAGTTTGTCACTGTATATTACAAGATTCTTTAACACAGAGATGATACTACAAAATAGGCACTGTTGCTAGACTTCAGGTGAAGTTAACTCCATCCATATTTAGCCTTAAATTTAAATGTAACACTACTCCCTTAGGAGTCACTGCTGCACAGCCAGGCAACATGCATTTCCTTTACACAGACTTGCATCCAGGAGACAGTACCAGTCTTTTAGCTTTGTTTTGAAGTTTTATTAGGGGATTAAACTTGGATGGGGTAAGGGAAGTATGCGATGCCCAAAGAGAATGGCAACTGAGGACAGCCTCCATGGAAGTAAATACAAATCTCTACAGACAGCAAAAATTCTCTTTTGGAGAGGTAGTCAGCATCTCCTAAATTACTACCCCAGACCCTAGATAAATCCTGTCTTCATCCTGGGCATGGGATGCAGTGCCTGCCACTGCAGTGTGAAACTGTCCTGGGTAACAGCTAATCCAGTTTCTTACCATAGTGTTGCTTTCCCTTACCGGCCCTGGGGATGTAGGTCTACTCACTCGGTCTTTCTCCTATGCTTCTATTGCATCAGTGGCTGCTCTCAGGCCTTCCTTTGGGCCACTCCTTCTATGCTGAATAGGTGGTCCTCGCTCTGAGAGCCAGTGGAGTCCTGAGCTTTCCTCCTTCTAAGTCTCCTGCCTGTAGATGAGCCCCTCTTCATCTGGGCCCCTCCCAGGCTCCTGCTCTCCAGTGTCTCACTTCCTCTCAGTCTTCCACCCAAAATCTCCTGCTGCTGAGCAGGCTTTGTCACTTTTAAGGGCTGCCCTAACCCCATGCCATTCCTCCTGTTGGGGATTGGCCAGATCAGCCCCTCCTTACCTCTGCCCACTGCTTCTAGAACTTTTCTCCAAAGTTCCAGTGCAGGGGGAAGTTTCAGAGAGCTGGTTTGCAGAGCCTCTTAGCCCTGACCCAAATTTGACCTCCCTCTGACTATTACACAGGCTGGTACTCATCCTCTAACAAATTTGAATCTAGCTCCCCCTAGCTACCTAGGAGGGTGCTACATAAAAATGGATTGTATGCCATTTAAACATATAAAAGGTAATTGGGATGGATAAATGTACAGTACAAGCATGGTATTTGTCCAGAATATATGATTGTATACATCTTCAGACTACATGCCTCTATGTCCACAAACCTTTAACCAACAAATATGATACTACATTGAACATAAGAAGGCTCTGAGATCACTGCTTTTCATTAAAATACTATCAGATGTTAGATGTCATAAACATTTTCTAAACACAAGGGTATGACTGTAAGATGTACATAAAAATAATGCCATGTTGTGAAGTGCCTGAGAAGTTCAACACCGGTGAAGGTTGGGAGTCTTGTGTCCCAAAAAATGCTAAATCTGTTTCTGATCAAGTTAAAGTGTATATTTGCTGCCTGTGTCCCCACTGGGGTGATTTACTATCTTTATTTGTCCTAGTAACCACTGTCACCAGAAATAAAAGTAAGGGAAAATCCAAACATTTGAGTCATCTTTGGAACTGGAATAAAGGGGAAGTACTGTATGTAGTAGGGACAACTGTGACGGAAGCTCTCACTTTGGAGACATTCCTCTCACTGCCTGCTGTGTTTATGAGACAGGATGTAAAGGGATATCACATCAACTGGACATAGACCAAAAGAAAATATAAAAACCTAACTCAATCCAAAACGAATAAAAAAGTATTGCTTTAGTTTTAGTATTTTAATGTTTCACATAATCAAGGCCTGGAAAAAATTGCCCACCAAGCCCAGTTGTATTTGTCCTCTAGAGTTTTTCTTTCCTATT